AATTCGACATAATAGTTTTTCATAACATTCCGATGGCCATAATTCATAATCACAAGTGTCAAGTCTAAACATAAAGTGTGGTTATCTTCTTTTTTTTTCAAATTGAGTGACAATCAGATCTGTCAATGGCGCGAAATTCAAATAAGACTACAGTTCGGCCATCCTGACACGTCTGATCGTCCTCGATCAACCTAATATTACAGTATATTAATTACATAACTAAGACATGTAACATTCATGACTTTCATAAGACATAACATAATGGATATTTGAAATGAACATTTTCCTTTAAAGTTTAAAACATACAGTATTAATAATAATAATTCATAATGAGTTAAATAAACAAATCATAATAATCATAATTCATAATGGTTTAAATAAGCAAGGCATAACATTCATAATAGTTTAAATAAGCACGACATAACATACATAATGGATTGAAGTGTCCATAGGGGTACAAATGGAAATCATAATATCCATAACACACCCTAACTGTCTCGATGTAATGGTACAAGTAATGGATTATAAATAAGCATAAACATAATTGAATAAAAATTAAACATAATTATTTTAACCCTAACTAATAATGAAATTGATTATTTATCATAAGCTCTAATCCTACTACTGTCTATAATTCCCTCATATGGTACTTGTGTTGTTTGGAACCCAACAATATCATTCACAATATACCTATCATTTGGTAGCTCTTTCACAATCTCATACGGTCCTCTAAATTTTGGTATAAGTTTTTTAGCTACTCCAGGGGTTGTGTCTACGTTGGAAATCATAACATATTGCCCCACCTTAAACTTTTGAGCCTCCTTATGCTTCTTGTTATAATACTGTTCATTTACATTTTGTGCCTTAATTATTTGTGCTTCTGCCTTAGTTCGAATCATTTCTAAATCCCGTTCTTCCTTATCAATATCTTGTAATGCTTCTCTTAAATTATCCCTAATCTTTCCTATTTGATCTCTTCCAAAAAGTAACTTAGCTGGGGTTTCTCCTGTTGATCTGTTTATTGTATTATTGATGCAGAATTCCACTTCATGTAATGCATTTGGCCAGTTGATTTGTTTTTCATCGGTTATCTTTGCTAGAAGAGGTGTCAATAACCTGTTCATGCGTTCTATTTGCCCATTGGCTCTCGGACAACCACTTGCAATCAGTATGTGTTTGATTGTATACTCCTCCAAAAATTTCTTAAAATCATGAGAGGTAAAACAAGATCCTCTGTCTGAACTGATAACGCTCGGCACACTATAATTAGCAAAATGTTCAGTTAAATATTTAATTACTTCTCCTGTATTTGTTGATTTGCAAGGATAGATCTTAATAAATTTAGTAAACCCATCAACAACTTCAAATATATATTTATTCTTATTAAAAGGAGCTAATGGCCCATAGTGATCAATATGAAGCATTTCAAAAGGTAAATTGCCCTTAGGTATACTATGTAGATATCCTTCTGATTTGCCACTTTTAGGATTGAATTCAATACACTTTAAGCAATTTTGAATATGATTTCCAATCTTAAATTTTAATTTTGGAAACCAATATGTCTTGGAAATAATTTCAAATGTTTTGTCTGTTCCGAAATGACCCAATTCATTATGATAGTGATAGATAACTGCTGACTCCATACTCTCTGGTACATAAAATGCAATGTTATCTTTCAGTTTTCTATATACTAACCCATTTCTTAATTCAAAGAAAGGATGATCTGTCTCCTCAAGTCTTTTTCGAAGATCTGAAATAACTGTATCCTTGGACTGTTTTAAAGCCAAAGTTTGTTCAATAGTATTTCCTTCTAATACCAGTACATAACTCACTCTGCTTAAGGCATCTACATGTTGCATTCTTGTATTTACTCTGTGCTCAATAGAGTAATCATAATTTTGCAATAACAAACACCATCTCATAATCCTTGGAATTATATCCTTTTTACTCATGGTTAAGCGAAAACTGTCACAATCTGTAACTATTTTGAAAGGGATTCCCTGTAGATAAACATGAAACCGTTTAAGTGCATACACAATACTCAAGCATTCAAGTTCGTAGCTATGGTAGCGAGACTCATAGTCAGTTGTTCTCTTGCTAAAGAAAAACACTGGGTGAAATTTGTCATCACTTTGTTTCTGAAGTAAAATTGATCCATAGCCTACTTGGCTTGCATCACAGTGTAGTTCTGTTTCCCTACTCGGATCATAAACTGCTAAAATAGGTTCTGATGTCAGTTTTGACTTCAAATTCTCAAAAGCTTGTAAATGTGTCATTGTAAATTCAAATTTGACATTTTTTCGTAATAGGTCATATAACGGCTTGGCGATGATAGAGAAGTTCTGTATAAAACGTCTAAAATAACTGGCAAGGCCTAAGAATCTATGCACCTGCTTGGTATCTGTAGGAACTGGATACTCTGCAATAGCTTTCACATTATCTTTATTAGGACATATACCATTTTCATTAATCCTGTAACCCAGAAAATCTATTTCTGTTTTCAAAAATGAACATTTATCTAGTCTTAACTCAAGTAAATTCTGGCTAACTAATATTAAAAACTTCTCTTAACACTTCTAGATTTTCTTCGATAGTCTGAGTAGCAATTAATATGTCATCAAAATATATTAAAACATTTCCTTGTTGGCACAAATCTTTAAAAAGTTTATTAACAAACCTTGCAAAAATAGAGGGACTTGAGCTCAACCCAAAAGGTAATTTAAGAAATTCATACTGACCTGAAGGTGTAACGAATGAAGTATACTTAGTACAACTTTCATCTAAAGCAACATGGTAAAAAGCATTTTTCAAATCCAATTTAGAGAAATATTTCTTATTCTTTAACCTGTCTAAATGATCATCTATTAGCGGCAAGGGAAATTGATCTCTAATAAGATATTTATTTAAAGTACGATAGTCTACACACATTCGATATTCATTTGACTTCTTCTTGGTTAATACTACTGGTGAACAGAAAGGTGAATCACTTTCCCTAATGACATTATTTTCTAATAAATTAGCAAGAATTTCATCCAATGACCTTTTCTCTGCATAAGATAGTCTACGTGGTCTGATACTAAAAGGTTCATTTTTAGTTAAAGTAAGCTGTGCTTTGAAATCACACTGTGGTTTTTAATGGTTTATCATAATCAAAGTAATATGACTTCAATAAAGTTTGAACACTAGTAGTTATTTCAAAAGGTAAACAATAATTAATATTCAAGTCTGCATCTAAATTTACCATATCGTTAATAAACAAAACATCTGTAAAAGGAAACTGATAGTCCTCCTCTGTTTGTACACAAGAGTTTTTATTTATTTTAAAAGAACCATTTGAAAAACTTATATTTTCTATGGATTCATTGTTTATAAAATCTCGACCCAAAAGTAGATTCCAACTAAAAGAATCTTTCTCAACAACATAAAATTTTAAATTTACTGATATGTCATCAAAAATAACTGTGTCATAAAAAAACCCTAACACTTTTAAAGGAGATTTATTTATACCTGAATAAGATTCAATATTAGTAGAAGAAATAATATCTTCTGCCTTTACAAAATTTTCTGATATCAATGATATTGGACTCCCTGTATCTATTATACCATTTAATGTTATGCTATACTTATCTAGAACCAGGTTTAATACAAAAGGATCCGTTTGGCTCATAGGACGTTCCACTAGACCCATGGCTCCATTACTATCTCGGGTAGTTGAATCTGCAACTTGTTGCACCACTTGCTGGTTTCTATTAGGACAGTCTCTTACCATATGATCTTTGCTTCCACATCTAAAACATGATCCCCTATCACGCTTGGCTTGTCTGCACTCTGTCACTTTGTGTCCGGTACGACCACAATTAAAGCATTTTACAGGAACTGGCATCCGACCCTGTGTTGCTGTATGAGGTTGGTTCTGGCTAGAACTTACCCTATAACTTGATGCTGTAGCAAACCTTTGTCCACTTCCTGATACCTCATCTTTAACAACACTCCCCATTAACTTATATAAATCTTCAGTGCTATTGAGTGTGGATAACATCATTTTGGCTTGATTTTGAAGTAGGCGATCATCAAACCCATCAATCAGATAATGTATCATATCTTCATCCTCAACTCCTGCTTCGTTGCCCAGTAACAGTTTGTCATGGAAATATGCTGAAAAGCTTTCACTCTTTTTCCACCTTCTAGTCTCCATCTTTCTTCTCGACGACACTGGATCATAAGTTCTCCCATACATTCTCCTAATTTCATTTTTTAAACCTGTCCAATCTGTGGAAATTAAATTTGGTTTGCTGAGGTACCATTCCTTCGCTTTTCCGGTCAATTTTCCAATGACTAACAGTTGTAAAATATCAGTTGGAACATTATACACAGTTTTGATTTTTTCTATTCTTTCTAACCATATTGCAACATTCTGGCTTTTGTCTGTGCCTGAAAATTCCGGCATTAAATTTGATAATTCACTGTTAGTAATTTTTATGGGGTTATGTGTCGGCATCTGATTTTCTGGACCGGCAATTTTCTTTTTCTCTTCATAATCGAGGATTGCCTGTACCGCTGTATGAACAATTTCAGCTATACTCGCCTGAGCGACGGTGTTTCCACTTGTATTTTCAATTTCGGTGTCTGATCCCGGCATGGCTATCGTCAATACTAAACACAATTTTTAAATCTGCAAAAATATCGGCGATCCACGTAATCCCACTTCTGATTCTGTAGGCTCCGTTAATAAATAATATTGTTCTAGATTTCTTAAGTTTATTTAGCGGAAAGAAACACTAATTGTACATAATTCGACATAATAGTTTTCATAACATTCCGATGGCCATAATTCATAATCACAAGTGTCAAGTCTAAACATAAAGTGTGGTTATCTTCTTTTTTTTTCAAATTGAGTGACAATCAGATCTGTCAATGGCGCGAAATTCAAATAAGACTACAATATATATATATCTAAAGTTTTTAGATAGTTACATTCTCTTTTTAGGTTTCCAATGTAGTAGCAAATGATGAAGATCCTTCAATACCAGAAGATTTGGGAGTAGCTGCAGCTCACAGATTATTATATGAGATATATCTGGGTGGCGTAGTAGATTCTACATCTCAATCATTGGCAATTTTATGCATGGCATTGGGAGATAAAGATGTCTCTAAACTAGTAACTGGTCCTTTATCAGAGTATTCAATATGGTTTTTGAGGCATTTGAAAGACTTTTTTGGAGTTACCTTTAAATTAGAACCGTTTGTTGAAGAAGAATCTAGTAGTGGTCAAGGATCATCAAAAGTGTTACTTACTAGTATAGGAATTGGGTATACGAATATAAGCAAAAGAACTATGTAATATAATAATGTTTGTTTTTAAATGTCTTTTTATTATTTACGATACAAGTCCGATAAGTACTCGAGAAATGAAGTAACTAACTACTTAAATAAAACAAGTAAAGAAACAAAGTGAAATTCTATAAAGTGATGTTCTTCTTCTTCTTCAGTGCCTTATCCGGTCCTGATGTTGCCGATCATCAAGGCCATCATGCGCCGTATGACCTCAATGTTGGTGACATGGTCTACATACGATATTTTTAGTATATTTCTGTAAATCCACATCTCGAAGGCTTCAATCCGCTTTTCTGTAGACTGCTACATTCTGCACAACTTGATAAATGTAGACTGTGCCATTTCAATTCTGGATCCGATCTCTTGAGCGTAGCCCCATTGTGAGTTGAGGGTAGTTCCGAAGTAAGTGAATCTGTCGACTCTCTGGATCTCTTCGCTACCTGTCATTAGTGCCCCGGGATCTAAATTTGCACGGCTGACCGCCATGAATTTAGTTTTCTTAATATTAAGTTCTAGTCCCTATGTTAAACTCACAGTTCTCACTCGGTCTAGTAAGGCTTGTAGATCATTTAGGCTCCCAGACAACACAAGACATCCCTGGGACGTCCATTTTATGCCATTTTAAGGTCCAAACGTCCCGGGACTTCTTTTGGACGTCCAAGGAATATTTCTAGTCGGACATACCAGGGACGCCCCATAAGGTCATCCGAGGGACGTCCCATTAGGGATGTTTTCTAGATATTAACTGTGTCATTTTTTTACTTAAGCATATTTTTTACAAAATATAATATCTACCTCCTCCTCAATCCTTTAGCCCTTGTCAGGGCGTAGTGACACCCTAAATATTATTAGTCTGCTGTCTCCATTGACTGCGATCTTGTGCCATATGGACGGCTTCATGTAGGGATTTTCCCACCAAACTCTTCTACCTACTAAACTTTATTTTAAAAAGTTATATTTAGTTTTAAATACCATTAATTTATGCGAAAATAGACATCTCTAAAATTTTGTTCTGTAGTGGAACTGAAATTTAAAAATTAGAAGATGAAAAAAGAATGTGGTTATGTTTTAACGAGGGTTAGCTTTAGCTAGCATTGTCGCAATCTTTTATTTCTCGAATTATAATCATTGTGGTTGTAGAGTTAGTTTATTGCATTTCGATACTAGTTTATAGTTTGGTAATTTATTATTATAGACATTAAGTAGGTATATAGGAATTTTATAGGTAATTTTTGTGGTTGTGGTGTCAGTTGCTACATTTGTAAAGTAAGCACTAGTAATGTGCTTAAAAAATACTATAAATTTAAATACATAATATGTTAATATAAGTACACAATAAAAATCCCATTTATTTTTGCTTTTCATTTTATTAGTTTTTTGTAAGTTCCCTTTAGGTCCTGTATACATCCTCATTTAGGTCCTGTATTAGTCCATGTGGACGTACAATGGATGTCCCCAATACATCCTTTTTAGGTCCTATATAAGTCCGTATTAAGTTCTGTATTTGTACTATGTACGTCCCCATGAACATCCCTGGGACGTCCAGGGGACGTACTTTTTGGTAACATTTAGGTCTTATTGGACGTCCCAATTATGTAAACGGATGTCCGGACATTTAATGAGGTACATCCTTCGGACGTCCATGAGACGTACTTGTGCTGTCTGGGCTGGTTGCTAGTAACAGTGTCATCGGCGTAGCGGATGTTATTGATGTATTCGCCGTTCACTCGCCACTCGGATTCCCATCTCTAGGTTTGTGAGGGCTTCCGTAAAAATATCCTCAGAGTATATATTGAACAGAGTCGGCGAGAGCACACAGCCTTGCCTTACTCCTCGCATGATCTTCAATTGGTCGGTCAGCTGGTCTTCGACCTTGACTTGGGCACGCTTGTTTCAGTATAAATTCATGATGATCCGAATGTCCTTCTCATCCAAACCTACCCTTTGTAGGGCGGCGAACATTTTCTGGTACTGACAACGGTCAAATGCCTTGGCGTAGTCAATAAAACAAATATTGACATCGCTACAAGTAGGACTTGTAAGGTGAAAAGTGCTTCACGTGTACGTGAAGTTCGGAATCCAAATTGTATTTCACCGACATTATCTTCGCATTTCTTGTAAATTCTGGCATGTATGATTTTAAGAAAAACCTTAAATGCATGACCTATAAGGCTGATATTTCGAAAATCTTCACACGTTTTCGCAGTTCGTTTTTGTGGTAGTGTTACAAATGTTGATAATAGCAATTCCTCTGGGATATTACATGAATCGTATATGGCGTTAATCAGTTCATTTAACTCCTTTGTGCTCACTTCACTCATCACCTTAATAAGTTCAACGGGTATTTCGTCCGGACCTGTGGCCTTACCATTCTTAGACTGTTTTAAAGCTGCTTTCAACTCGCTTTCTAGTATTGACAGCCTTATCATGCAATTTATTTCTGGAAGGTTACCTCAGTAGTCCCAGAAAAGTTCTTCGATTTACATTTTCCAGGTCACCAACTTCTCGCCAGGTTCCGGTCTTTAATTATGAGGAAGTGTGCGTTTTTCCTCTTATATTGACCAGTGGCTTCTCGAATCTTTCGGTGGATATTTATATGATCGTGTTTTACTTGGAGCTCTTTGATTAGTTTACATTTTCTTGCATCCATGTCTCCTTGGCTTTTCGAAGTTCTTTTTTAATTTTTTTGGTTGATTTTTTTGCGTCCCTGTTTAAAGTGATGGCAGCACCTATATTGACATAAGGAAGTGAAATTTGGGGACTGGCTTGATTTCATTTTTATCAAAACATCCATTTTATTTTATTGTTCTTTCAGTAAATCTAGCAAGAAAATTCAACCTTTTGAAAAGAAAATGCTTGGGTTCTTATATATCCTAGTATGTACCATTATTTTGGATATTACCTGCATAATTAAAATTCGAAAACCTGATTCATTTTGAAATAAAACAATTTAAAATAGTTTACACATTTATTTATCATTGTATAATTCTATTACATAATATAAAAGTGGCCTGCAATGTGATGTAAAAGTGGTTTTTGAACATCTGTCAGATACTGAGATGTTCAAAATGATATAGAACAGTAAATTCTGATTTATAATACTACACCAACATCCAAACTTATCCAATAAAATAAGATCAAAAATATCATAGTACATGCAAAAAACTGAAAGCCATATATTTTACGATAACTTGAATGAGAGACTACCAACGATAACAAATAAGGACAAAAAACCCATCACTATGTATGGTTGGAAGACTGATAAGTTTAGTGACTGAAGTCACCATTTCACACTAGTCAAGTATGCGTTTTCAAATGTGTTTTTAAAAAATTTATTGTAATAAACAGCTTTAAACAAATTGCACACTTGTGAGGTTTTTCCAAACTGTGTATTACGGAATGAGTTATGTGAATAGTGTTTTTAAATAACTTTTATCAGTAAACTGCTTTAAACAAATTTCACACTTATGTTTTTACCCACTGTGAATTCTCAAATGTGCTCTTAAATTACTTTTATCGGCAAACTGCTTTAAACAAATTTTACACTTGTGAGGTTTTTCTCCAGTGTGAGTTCTAAAATGTCTTTTTAAACTGAATGCTGAACTAAACTGTTTAAAACAGATTTCGCATGTGTGACATTTTTCTCCAGAGTGCGTTCTCAAATGTTTTTTTAAATTTCTCTCATCAGAAAACTGCTTTAAACAAATTCCACACTTGTGAGGTTTTTCTCCACTATGCATTCTCAAATGTGTTTCTAAATTTCTTTTATTAGAAACCTGCTTTAAACAAATTTCACACTTGTAAGGTTTTTCTCCCGTGTGAGTTCTTAAATGTCATTTTAAATCAAATGCTATAGCAAATTGCTTAAAACAAATTTCACACTGGTAAGGTTTTTCTAAACTGTGTATTACCGCATGAGTTTTTAAATGACTTGTTGCAGTAAACTGCTTTAAACAAATTTCACACTTGTGAGGTTTTTCTCCAGTATGCGTTCTCAAATGTATTTTTAAATAACTTACTGTAGTAAACTGCTTTAAGCAGATTTCACACTTATAAGGTTTTTCCCCACTGTGTATTCTCAAATGTGTTCTTAAATTACTTTTATCAACAAACTGCTTTAAACAAATTTGACACTTGTGAAGTTTTTCTCCAGTGTGAGTTCTTAAATGTCTTTTTAAATCGAATGGTGCACCAAACTGCTTAAAACAAATTTCACACTGATAAGGTTTTTCTAAACAGTGTATTACCGAATGTGTTTTTAACTGGCTTGTTGTAGTAAACTGCTTTGAACAAATTGCACACTTGTAAGGTTTTTCCCCACTGTGTATTCTCAAATGTGTTCTTAAATTACTTATATCAGCAAACTGCTTTAAACAAATTTCACACTTGTGAGGTTTTTCTCCAGTGTGAGTTCTCAAATGTCGTTTTAAATTAAATGCTACGTGAAACGCCTTAAAACAATTTTCACACTTGTAAGGTCTTTGTCCAGTCGCAACTTTCATGTTTTTATATAATATTTTTCCTTCGGTGTGTTGATCTGTATATTTTCTTTTCTGAGATGAATGTACGATTTCCAGAATTTCCGTTTTATTCTTCTCCTGCGAAGAACCTAAAATACAAACCAACCATAAACATTTAGTTTGGATTTAAACTGGAACGGAAGAATTGCAGAAACAAAGGAATACAATAAATAAAGTAAAATAATAGCCCAAGTTGACCTTGATCAGGCCAAAGCCGCTTTTAGAAGGATGTCCAAGGTATTATCACCAGTTAAAAATAAAAATTAAGGAAATTTTAATAAAAAATGTATTTTATTGTAGTGAGGAATATCTGAAATTTCAATTTTAAACTATTTTAACTCATAAGGTAAGTGATATGTGTTAATGTACCTAATTAGAATTTAAGATTTTTTAATAGAACTATTGTTCTGCTTTTATTTTGACGTGTGTTAAGCTGCTGGCAAAATTATTACGTCAATAAATGAAGTTGAATTATGTAACAGAGACTTAAAATTAGCATTGCGGATCCGCTTACTTCGCTGCTACGTGTTTTCGGACTTACTTTATGCTGTCGAGTCTTGAACTGTGCTTGGTTCTATACAAGAGTTTTAAAAGTTTCTTGGGTGGAGAAGTTTCGAAACTCCACAATACTATAGTAAAATTCATTAAGCGATGCAGGAAGATGTAAACATTAAATCGTGTCCGAACCTGTATGAGCTGCCGACAATGTCGGCAAACGAAATAAAGATGGACATTTCGGTTAGTTCATTCGCATCTGTATATAGTATATAACAATCTTTGAACAGTTGAGAGCTGTCAGATATAAACATTAATTTTCTTAAAGATAAATTGCTGTAGTCCCTTAAGAAGTATACCTGAACTTGTTCTAGAGTATTAAAATCAATACTGTAATTTGGGTTTATGTCATATTTATAGTTGTTTACCATATATTGTCATTTTTGAATATAAATCTACTAGAGTTTTCTTTTTTATCCAATATTTCTCTGTTAAGTCTGCTAAGAACAACTGGTGTATTTTGAATATTAAACTTGACTTTTTCTCGTACAATCTAACTAAAAGTCTGATGCCAAGTTTTTTCGTCTTATATCCATTGGCATTTCACAGCATTCGACTTGTAGGCTACTAATGGGTGTACTTCTTAGGGCTCCTATACACAATCTAAGGCATTTATTAACGATTTTGTTTATTTTGTTTAAATGACACTGTGATGCGTCACTGTATAATATTGATCCATAGTCGATTATAGCTCTTATATTATTTTTAAATAATAAAGAAATATTTGGATCTGCTCCCCATCGTAAGTGTGACACGAATCGAAGAAGATTTATTCCCTTTTCCGTTTTTTTTACTATAGTGTCTATATGTTCTTTCCAGAGAAGCTGTCTATCAAGAGTAATGCCCAAATATTTAACATAACTTTGCACTGGATAGGAGACATTGTTTATTAATATGTAGTTGGGTATCTCTTTTCGTTTCCTTGTAAAAATACATAATTTAGTTTTCGAATAAGAGATATTTAGTCCATGTAATTCACTCCATGTTTTAATATGATTGATTCCTTCTTCAATAGATTTGACTGCATTTTCTATTTTAATGTGTTTTTGATAAATGACTATATCATCTGCAAATTGTAAAATTCTTGTGGAGTTCAAATTTTTTACTAGATCAGCAGTATAAATTAAATATAACAATGGGCTTAATATTCCTTCTGCTTCAGGGTACCTGTCCGTTCCGAACGTGGGCGATCATTCTGGCTATGATAATTTTGTTGGTTGCTATACGAAATAGCTGTGTTGAGGTCTTTCTATACCATGCTCTCAGGTTAGCAGGCCAGGATATGATAATGATTTATAACTTTATTCAAATTTGGATTACCTGATCTATCTTTTTTATTAAATTGTGTCAAACTTGTCTCGTTATTAAAATTAAATTGGTTACCTACCTCGTTAGTGCTAGTTGTTTGACTTTTCTTTTGTTACCTTATGATTTACTGTAATGTTGCTAATTTTTTTTAATTCCTCAAATTCCATCATCCTATCTTCTCGAAATTCTACATAAAATTTCCCTCTATCTGGAGGCTTCGGTGGAATTTCTTCCATGTCGATTTTTTTAAGATTAAACTACATACACCCGAAATATACACCTTCTTACAGACCACTAGTTTAATGTGTCTTTACCACTACAAGTAATAGCGTAAAATTGAAGAAAAAACCTTTAAAATTAATATTTTTTGGAAGAGCTTCAAAATAATGCGCCTTTCGATTTGACGTTTATTTGACAGTCAACTCTCGATTATTTCACATAATAATTCTTTTGTCATTGACCGACCATATTCATAGAAAGTAGACTGCTTCAATTTGCGGCAAATCCATCCGGCCCTAACAACTTGCACATATTTATGAGATCCCAGAATAATATCGCGTTTTTGATCAGATTCAAAGGTTGTTTGAATTTTCATCTTATCGAAAATAATTATACAATTATCCTGTTTTTATCCTTTTTTTTTATTTTGAAGAGAATTACCTGTTATAAAAATTTAAACAGTTGATTCAATGTTGTTATTGAATTTGATTAGGTTTGTAAGAGACTCTGGACGCTATTGCCACGTGGTGGTAACACTCTCACGAACGATACCCTTGGGGAAGAGGGCGAAACCTCATTCATAGAGTTTTACTGCTGTATACGAGGCTCTGCAGGAGCAAACCACCCATTTCCTGGCTACTTGTGGGAATTAAGTGTATAGCTAGGGACAAGATCATGCGAAATTTTAAAGTCCAACCTGCTGATAATCCGCTATTGATAATTTTTATCCAACATTTAAATAAAATTACCGGAGCAGTGTTGAATTTTGAATTATTAGTTTGTTTAAATTACTATTATTATTATTACTATTGTTCAATCACAAATTAACCCCTTAATTTGTAATCTCACATTATTCTTAACTTCTTAATCTTTTATAGTTTCACCGAGTATAAGTTTGCATTATACATATTGCAAAACCATACCGTATGATAATTTAATATTAGTTCATTTACCTACAACTAAATAAATTGCCGAATAATAATATTTTCTAATTGAACTTCGTAAGTGTCGCAATTAAGGCGTAGATTAAATTGTATTATAAGCAAAAGCTAGGTGGTGTGAATGAACGAAGCAATGACTTAAGGTGCTTATGTATCTATTATGTGTGAGATTATAAATTGGGGATTTGAGTTCAAATGAACACAGTCTATATTGAGTAGTTACCGAACGAACACCATATTGTGTAATTACGAGTTGCTGTCAATAAATAATCACCTTTACTCCACAACTTCAACATTTATTAACCCTACCAGCATCGATCGACGAGAAGCGGACAAAGGGGCATACGAACCGAACCGAACTTCATTACTAAGTTCGATATTTTTCCAACTATTATTATTTGTTACTATTAAAAAAATACTTGCGTTCATCTTTTTTGCTAAATTTAGGACTGGCAAAATAAAATATTTTTCAGTTACGAAAATAAGTAGACATTTTGTTTTGTGGGTTCGTCAATAAACACTAATTATTGATATACATAAAAAGAGTAAAACTTATTCCGAATCATCGTCATTAAATATTTTTGTAAAACGTTATCAAAAATATGATGTTTTTGTTTATAACATTTAAAAATAATTAAGAGAAATTCCTGCGGTTGACCTAAATACAAATTTACAAACAATTTTATATTTACGGTAATGGCTAAGTACTTAATAAGTACATTTTCGCAGAATAATTAAATGGGGCGGGATCATTGTCACAATATTTAAATACAGTAGAACCCCTCTCGTCCGCCCTCGGATAGTCCGACGCTCCGGGTAATCCGACCTGCTTGGCTTCGCGGAAATCCCCGGCGGTCGATTTGTTTACGACGAAAATTTCTCCGAAAATCACAATCCATTCTGTCAGTATTATTTCGAACTTTGTGAGTTACAGTGTGTACATTATTTTCAACATGTCAGGAGCAAAACGTAAACACGTTACGCGTTCGTTAAGTGAAAAACTTCCAGTGCTTCAAAGGCTGGACAAAGGTGAATCACTACAAAAAATTGCCAAGGAACTGAATGTAGGCGTTACGACTATTAAGGATTGGAGAAAAAATCGAAAAGAAATTGAATCACATACAATGACGATAGTAGATGGAGAAAACGCTCTTAAAAAGCGAAAAACATTAAAAAAGCCTAAACTTGAACTGCTTGATAGTGCTCTATGGATGTGGTTCAGTCAAGAAAGAAGGAAGGGAACTCCGATATCTGGCCCAATTATAAAAGAAAAGGCAATAATTTTGCACAAAAAACTAGAAGTCGGAAGTAAATTTAAAGCCAGTGAAGGCTGGATTGATCGTTGGAAAACCCGTCATGGTATCCGGTTTGTCTCAATTTGTGGTGAAAAATTATCTGCTGACGTCGAGGCGGCTAAGGAGTTTTCTGTGAAGTTTCAACAAATTGTAAAAGAAAATGAACTGTTACCTTGCCAAGTCTATAACATAGACGAGACAGGCCTAAACTATAAAATGCTTCCAAACAAAACCTTAAGTGCGTCAAATGAAACCGTAGCGGGAACGAAACTCATGAAAGATAGGCTAACTGTTGCTCCTTGTAGCAATGCTGATGGAACACACAAGCTTTCGCTGTTTGTCATAGGCAAATCTAAGAAGCCCAGGGCTTTCAAAAACCTAAACTTATCATCCGTGCCGGTTTATTATCGCAACCAAAAATCTGCTTGGATGGACTGCAATCTTTTCAAATCTTGGTTTTTTGACGAGTTTGTGCCATGTGTTGAGAAGGACTTGACGACAAAAAATCTTCCTGTTCGAGCTCTACTGCTATTAGACAACGCACCATCGCACCCTTCTGAGGAAGATTTAGTAAAAGGGGATATAAAAGCTATCTTCCTCCCACCAAATGTCACATCACTTATCCAGCCTATGGACCAGGGCGTGATAGAATGTTTTAAAAGGCGTTATCGCCGAAAATACATAAGCTCGATTTTAGAAAAATCCGAAGAAGGATGTGATATTTTCCAAGCCATGAAATCACTCAACATTAAAGATGCTATCTATACAATG